GCAGCTTGTGCTTTCTGATCTGTAACAATCTCTTGGGTGGCTGGCTCACCTCCCTTTCCAATCACATGAATCTGTGAGTGAATAACTCATGCATTTTTTCTGTTTTTCTGTGCAGAATATCTAAACTTCTATAATTTGCAGTTGTTAATAGTTTTTCTTGCATCCTTCTTTCCATTAGCAAAAGTTAGAATATTCATATGGATCTACAAAGCTTTATTTAGCTACCTAAATTTGGTTAAATTTTGCCCTTCATTTGGTTCTTGATCAACAAGCAATTGACATGATATTAGAATTATTTTCTGGGAGAGAACTTTGATTTTAATGATTTTAGATTAGCCTTCCTAAACTGTCAAGAAGCGTTGCAGACTTCATTATGCTCACCTTTTATGTTATTGCAGCGGTTCACTCGACTTGGCGGTAAGCTCCCAAAAGGTGTTCTACTTGTTGGTCCCCCAGGTACCGGCAAGACTATGCTGGCAAGGGCTATAGCTGGAGAAGCTGGGGTGCCCTTTTTCTCTTGCAGCGGCAGTGAGTTTGAAGAAATGTTTGTTGGTGTTGGTGCCCGCAGGGTTAGAGATCTCTTTGCTGCTGCAAAGAAACGGTCTCCATGTATAATATTTATTGACGAGATTGATGCCATAGGTGGGAGCCGCAACCCAAAGGACCAGCAATACATGAAAATGACTCTGAATCAGTTACTTGTTGAACTGGATGGCTTCAAGCAGAATGAGGGAATTATTGTGATTGCTGCAACCAATTTCCCGGAGTCATTGGATAAGGCTCTGGTTAGGCCTGGACGATTTGATCGTCATATTGTTGTTCCAAATCCTGATGTTGAAGGACGGAGACAGATCTTGGAATCACATATGTCAAAGGTACTTTGCTTTTTTTGATGATAAAAACCTCTATTTCTTATTTACTCTTTCCCCAGTTTTTTCATTTAATTGTCCCACTTGTTCATCTCTCACTTACTGAATCAAAGAGCTTTAGTTTGCGAATTGAGGATAATTTTGTATTGTAGTCTCTGAATTAGTGTGCATATTTCCCAAAGGGCGATCTGGAAAGGAAGAAGATATATGTGATGAATTCAGAAATAAGATGGAGGGGCCCTTGCAATGTTATGTAAAAAGTAGAAGCTTTGTTTGCCAAAGAAGATATGTTAGGACCCTAGCATACTCCAAAAAGTTACTTTTGTTCTGCCTGTTGTTGACTGAATTTGTCCAAAAGAACAATTCTACTTAGTCTTTTAGTGGCTTGTGTTTATCCTTGACCATTTTCAAGACATTTTTCAAGTCTTGCAATGTCTCCAAAAAGTTATTTTTGTTCTGCCTGTTGTTGATTGACTTTGTCCAAGAGAACAATTCTACTGAGTCTTTTAGTGGCTTAGTGGCTTGTGTTTTTCCTTGGCCATTTTCAAGACATTTTTCAAGTCTTGCAATGTAGATTTGTGCAAAGATTTGTACTTTGTTCATTCTTCTTTTTGGCCACGTACCACACCCCATGCCATGTCAACACAGGTTGCATAAACCAACTCGATGAATCAATCTAATTTCCTTCCACTAAGCTCTTATTTCAAATTCTCTACCCTTGTTTGCCTGGTGAAGTGTATTTCTCTGCCGTGCTCAATCCCTGACAGATCAGTTGTGAGATACTAGCTGGTCATTACTCGTTTGCTCACCTATATGTGATTCTGGTGCTGTAGACAAGCTCCTGCTTTGTGTACTTCTGTTTGGATGTTTCCTTTTGTGCAAGAGCAAATTTCCCATTTGATATGCTATAATTTACATAAGCATCTGCACCATGTACTTCATTTGAAAGTTTCCTTTTTTGCAATATTTCTCTTTATAGTTTACATATGTAACTTACTTGAAGACATATATAGGTGATCTTTGCTAATCTTTCCTACGCCAAGTTACTGCTTGATGTACTGGCCATTATAGTGATGCGCATATGGATAACATCCATCTGACATGCATGGCTGATACTTGAATTATCTTTGATTAGCGCATTCCTTAGACAATTCTACATTTTGGGAGAAGGAAATTTCAGCAGGGGATTCTAATCTGAAATTTTTTTTTTTGCTGATAGGTTCTTAAAGCGGAAGACGTAGATCTGACTATCATTGCCCGAGGAACTCCCGGATTCTCTGGTGCTGATCTTGCAAACTTGGTTAATATTGCTGCCCTTAAGGCTGCGATGGATGGTGCTAAAGCTGTGACACTGGCTGATCTTGAGCATGCAAAGGACAAAATCATGATGGGAAGTGAGCGGAAATCAGCTGTTATATCTGATGAATCACGAAGGCTGACTGCTTTTCATGAGGGTGGCCATGCTCTCATGGCTATCCATACTGAAGGGGCCCTTCCAGTTCACAAAGCAACCATTGTTCCTCGTGGAATGTCTCTTGGTATGGTTGCCCAATTACCTGACAAGGATGAGACAAGTATATCTCGTAAGCAGATGCTTGCTCGTTTGGATGTTTGCATGGGTGGACGAGTAGCAGAAGAGCTCATCTTTGGAGAAAATGAAGTGACTTCAGGTGCATCTTCCGATCTGCAGCAAGCAACCAATCTTGCAAGAGCAATGGTTACAAAGTATGGTATGAGCAGAAACGTGGGACTTGTTACTCACAACTATGATGATAACGGCAAGAGCATGAGCACTGAGACTAGGCTCCTTATTGAGGAAGAAGTAAAACAATTTTTGGAGAGGGCTTACAACAATGCGAAAACCATTCTCACCGTGAACAGCAAGGAGCTCCATGCACTTGCTAATGCTCTACTTGAGCATGAGACACTCTCTGGAAGTCAGATCAAGGCCCTGCTTGATCAGGTAAACTCTCAGCAGAAGCAACAACAACAACAACAAATGGTTACCACGCAAAGCACATCGCAATCCGGTGCTGTTCCTCCATCAACACCCAATGCAGCAGCATCTGCGGCTGCTGCCGCCGCTGCAGCAGCTGCAGCAGCAACTGCTGCAGCCAAGGCAAAGGGAATTGCACCTGTTGGATCGTAGCATGGAGGAGATGCACAGGTCAATCCTGTCCCTTATTCATAACTATCAGGTTTAATGTGCATATAGTGTTTTACATGGAAACCTTTTAACCTGTGAGAAACAATGTAGCTAATTGCGGACTCCAAGTTCATGTTTATGTATGCTTTTGAATGGAATGTGTAGAAGATGAATGGCAGGCAGGGAGTGCTATTTTCGGTGTACCACTTACATTGAGTTCTATTCAATGACTTTTTATCGTCCGTTCTCCCTACTTGACCACATAGCTAACAGTGGGTTCAGATCTGCCAGTTCAGTATAGCATTATGTTTTTCTGTTATTTATTATTTTCTTATTCTTTATTGCATTTTTGTTAGTTCGATAGATAGACTCCTGCTGTGCAGTGGATGTACTGTATAACTCTCAGTCAACATGATGCTGCATTGTTGAGAAATGTGGTTGTAGCTATATTTCTTGAATGGTCCTTGTGATGCTGTTAGTGCCTTGGCAAGGCCAGTTTGTTTGCTATACATTTTGTATTCATGCGGTAGAAAATGGTTTCCATGCCATTGGCTTCTGTTTGTCTTGCGATTCCAAATCAGGAATCTGCAAATTTTCTTTTCGAGATGCTTTTGTCAGCAATATTAGTCTAAGATAACAAGTCCAGGTGAATCTTTCCACGTGCTTGTTTTGTGCTATACAAATGTAGAATCTGCAGAAGGTTGTATTGGAGCCTGGTGAGGGCTAGAAGGGTGTAAATGCGGGATTAGTGTAACGAGTACATAAGAGGATTTGGCTCTTTTAACTCATTTAAGTCTAGATTAGACTGCTTCCTTCCAACCTGTTGGTGAAAAGATTTGCGCACTAAAGATCCCCATTCATATGTGAATGTTCAGACGTTTGATGGTGTTTGCATGCTAGTAATACGCAGAAAGAGTGAAAATTATGACTAAACTTGAACAAAAATAGAAACAGTTGCCACATGTATGGGGATCGTTAACAACTGGCAATTGCAAAGTGAATGCAGGATCAGTAGAGAAGGATCCTCCTGCTCAAAACTTCACCATCACAATTAGGACCAGCAGTTCAAGGACGCTGGTTTGCAATTGAAGGCACTAAAAGTGAATTTTGGATTCTTGGTTTGTCAATCCATTGATAAGTAGGTGCTCCTCGATCAAAGAGCTGTCTACTTAAGAGATATTTTCTGTGTATTTTCTTGTGTACCTCTCCACTTCTGGAATTCTATTCTTTCTTTCGAAGCTCAAAGAGCTGGAATTCTATTCTTAAAGAAACGTCTTTTTTTTTTGCCGCGCCATTTAATACGAAGGGATGGTCGAATTACTTGTTTATCTTAGACATCTACGTGATCCATACGTAGGGACAGTTCCAAGGTGACCTTAAATAAAATTAATTAATAATTTTTTTTATGTAAATGGAAGGGCTTAAAACTGGAACTTGTCGCTTATATTCTTTCTTTTGAACTATCCAACTCATTCTTACCTCAAAATTAATTAATACTTGTTTAAACTTCTCTCCCATATTAGTAGTAAATGAAATTAAAAAAGTGAATTTCAACACTTATATAAAAAAACGCTTATTTCAAGCGTTCACTCTTATAAAAGCTCACTTTTATGTGAATATGGTAGGTGTTATAGCATTCAAAGAAATGATTTATTAATAAGTTTAAAATAATACTATAGTACTTATTTTGATGATACGATGTATATGACATAAAAATATATTAAAAATAAAAAATGTGTTTATAATATGACAAAAAAAAAATTTACAAATAAGATCATGTACATCCAAATTTCCATCTCTTTCTTTCGTTTTAGTTTAGGTAGGTTTCCTACTACTCGTGTTGTATCGCTTCATCCCACATAAACATGTGTACATACAAAAAAATTTTCTTTTTTTTTTTTTTTGAAACAAGGGTGGTTATTTTGCTCGTAAGCGATGGGTCCTGCAAGGTTGTCCAAAATAATAATAATAAATAAAAAGAAAAAGAAAAGTTGCAGGAGCAGAAAAGAAAGTATAGTTTAATCATTGTAGTAATCCAGAAAGGTCAAATACAGGAGCTAAAATGGCAATCCACGAAGGCAAAGAGCACCATAACCACCACAACGACAGCAGCCACCAGCCGGGTAGGTCCATTAATATTCTCGTGTAAGTTAACACACCAATACAAAAATAAGTGAAGAAATAAAAGATACTATATAGTACAATTGAGAGAATGGGGTACAAGAAGAAGGGGGCCATCAGAAAGTTGATTGCTTTCTGCAGAACCTCTCAAGAAAATGTTCAAACTTTATCAAATTTGCTGGTGATCACGGCTTCCGTAGCATTTTCTACTTTGTACAAATTATGGGTTCTATACAAAATGAAATATCTTCTGTTAGCTATTCCTGGTTTCTTGTGTAATTTTGCGTGCTGGAATTGGTTCCGATTATTGGCTTCTTGATTTATGGGGAATTCACACAATTTTGCAAAAAAAAAAAAAAAACATTATCAGGGTCTCTTTTATCTCTCTCTCTCTCTCTCTCTCTCTCTCTCTCTCTTCATTCAAATTTATTTAATGACCTGAGAATTCTGGGTTGGGGAGGTTCTCTAGTAAAAAGATTGCGTTGGGGAAGTTGCCAAAACAATTGTCTTTCAGGATTTTGTCAAATGCCGCTTGGCTGCCTTATTTCAAGTTAAAATGTCCAATTGATTGAAATAGAAGGGATTTAGTCAACCATAATTCGCAGATGTTGTGGAGGCAAGCAGAATACTAAGTCAGTTCAAATGTGCTGTTTAAGGCACTAAGCAAAGCCTTTTGGGATTGGTCCCGGTGCATATAGCGAGAAATGTTTGATACAGAGTTCTTCAGTTAATTCACTTGTCAGTGATGATCCCCTAAAAGTTGGCAACTTGCTGGATTTAGGTGACCTATTGAGGTGATCAGGACTCATTTCTTTGTTAACTTCTTGGCAGGGACCCATGAACAAAAGAGAGTACGTATACAGAACAGATATGGTGAGAAGCTTGTGGGGATATTGCATGAAACGGGGTCGAAGGAGGTTGTGATTATCTGTCATGGATTTAGATCTTCAAAGGTTGGTGTATGCCATCTCTATAACTGGATGTTTTAGGAGGAGAAAGTTTTCTATATTTTGGTAGTTCTCCACTCTAATGCTCTGTTTGCTTCTTTATTTACTTGGTGGAATTATCTGCAATCTCATTTTCAGCATTACCTGATGAGCATCTTTGCAAATTTTGCAATCTCCATCCTATTTGGTGCTGTAGGTGAATTGAAAATAACAAAACTTTTTTTTAGATGCATGTCATATGCACAAACATTTTATCTGCATCCCTCCTTACAGATGGCATTCGCCAATACTTCTGAAGAAGGAATGTTGACGGGTCCCATGCTCCAAAAAAAAAAAAAAGTCTATTTTCCTGCCTGCCTGAACTTGTCTGAAATCATAAACGCCTGGTCTTATTATATCCCTGATATTATACACTCAAATCACATACAGTTTTTATAATCTTCAAAATTTTTGTAAGTGTGTAACAGTGGAGAGGTAACATGTTCTTGTAAGTATGTGTTGGGAGCCTGAAGTGTCTTTTTTTCTGTATTTTGTTAGAAGCACTTTGTTGTATGATCATCAGGAAGATCCCATTTCTAAATCAATTTCATTGTATCATTACTTTTTGATTGCTACAGTATATTTGTTGCTAAGGACTAGTTTGATCATTCAATCCATTAATGTTGTTCCCTTCTCATAAACTTCAGGATCGCATTCCCATGGTGAATCTAGCTGCTGCTTTTGAAAAAGAAGGAATTAGTGCCTTCCGCTTTGATTTTGCTGGGAATGGGTAAGTGACTAGCCACTGACACGCTACTCCTCCCGACATGTCTCTTCAGAAATATCACCAAAATTTTTGTTCTTGACCCAGTCAGGACATCAGACATCTTGAGAAAAAATGCATGTTTAGATTAAAATTTGACATCCTCTTCAAACAATGGTCTAAGAGAAGAAAAAATTTAAGAATAAAATTGTACTATATCTTCAATCTGAGACCCTTTTCAGTGAAAATTAGGTGTGAAGATAGAGATTAACATTGCCCTCCAGATTTGGGTTCCTGCACATAAATTGGCTGTATACTTATGTTCCCTCTTCATCCTATGGAATGATCCTTTTAGGAGATTTTCGGAGTACAAAGGATCGAGTACATTCTGTCTTTTTTGACATTTACCATTTCCCTAATTTTTTATATGATGCTTGCTTTACTTTTCTGAAGAGGATCTTGTAGGACAAAATATATATGGGGAAACTCTTGGAAATGTTTACTTCTATATTGTCATTTTGTTGATATGTTTAATCAAACTCTTCAAGGTGCGTAATGCAACACAAGATAGGGGCGATCTTGTTTGAAGGAACGAAATTTAGAGAGAGAGAGTTTTGGGAAGATTTTCTTTATTTCTCTGATGCAGACTAATGATGGTACCGATGCCTATTTATAGGCTTTACACAAGAAGGTCATTGATTATCCTATCACCTATCAATCACTAACAGATATCTATCAACCACTAATAGATAACAATCATTCCTATCATATCTCTAATTGATATACAACATTAAGAATATTCACGAATCTTATCTGATACCAATTACAATTCAATCCAACACTCCCCCTCAAGTTGGTGCATAGATGTCATGCATGCCCAACTTGCCGAGTGAGTTGTAAAAGTCCTTAGTCGGCACGGCTTTTGTGAGTATATCAGCTAGTTGATCTTCAGATCTCACAAACGGAAGCCGTATTATTTTTTCTTCAAGATTCTGCTTGATAAAGTGCCGATCGACCTCAACATGCTTAGTGCGATCATGTTGAACTGGGTTATGGCTGATATCGATAGCAGCTTTGTTGTCACAAAATAAGTTCATCTCAGATCTAGGAGAAAAACCGATATCGGCCATCAGCCGTTTGAGCCACAGAAGCTCACACATACCTCTAGCCATGCCTCTAAATTCAGCTTCTGCACTTGATAATGCTACCACCTTTTGTCTCTTGCTTCTCCAAGTAACTAGATTACCACCGACGAATGTAAAGTAACCTGAGGTTGACTTTCGATTGGTAGCATCTCCTGCCCAATCGGCATCAGTGTAACCATCAATATTAAGATGACCATTTTTGGAAAATAAGAGACCCTTCCCAGGAGAACCCTTTAAGTACCGAAGAATTCTCATCACAGCTTTCATGTGCCGATTACTGGGTGAATGCATAAATCGCCTGACCACACTGACAGAATAGGCAATATCGGGCCGAGTATGTGACAAGTAGATCAGCTTACCGACCAATCTTTGATATCTCTCTTTGTCAGTTGGTTTCTGATATGGATATTCTCCTAACTTGTGGCTTAGCATAATTGGCGTGTCAGCAGGTTTGCAATCCAGGAGCCCAACCTCTGCCAACAGATCAAGTACATACTTCCTCTGGGATAGGACGATGCCTTGTGCCGATCTTGCCACTTCAATTCCCAGGAAATACTTGAGATTCCCTAAACTCTTCATTTCAAATTCAGCCGCCAGCTGGTTTTGTAGTTTGGAGATTTCCTCTTCATCATTGCCTGTGATAATCATATCATCGACGTAAATTATTAAGGCAGTTACCTTTCCATGCCGATGTTTTAGGAAAAGAGTATGGTCGGCATTACTCTGCTGAAAACCATACTTCTTCATAGCTAGCGTAAAACGGCCGAACCAAGCACGTGGTGACTGTTTGAGTCCATACAATGCTTTCTGTAATCGGCACACAGTATTTGTTTTCGATACTGTAGAACACCCTGGTGGGATATCCATGTAGACTTCCTCCTCCAGATTCCCATGCAGGAAAGCGTTCTTCACATCAAACTGATGCAACGGCCAATCCAAATTTGCCGCAAGAGATATCAGTACTCTGACCGTATCCAATTTAGCCACTGGTGAAAAAGTTTCTTGGTAATCGATGCCATAGGTCTGAGTGTATACTTTAGCCACGAGACGAGCTTTATATCTATCGATTGATCCATCAGCCTTATACTTGATTGTGAAAACCCATTTGCATCCCACCGTCCTCTTCCCATCTGGTAATGGGACCAAAGTCCACGTGTCATTTTTTTGCAATGCCGACATCTCATCCTTAATTGCTTGAGTCCAGTTTGGATCTTTGAAAGCAGCATGCACATCTTTTGGAATGTCAGTTGACGACACATTATTCACAAAGGCTTCAAGAGGTTCAGATAGCCTGTGAGTGGACATATAATTGGCAATGGAATACTTTGATCGCTTTGCATGACTTTCTGGAGAGTACCGAGTCGGTGGCTTACCTCGATTGGATCTGTCAGGTAATACATATCTTGCAGTAGTATCTAACATAACATTAGAATCAGCAGGAGTACTTACCTCAGGAACATTCTCAGGAGACATGCAGTTAGGTACTGAAGAGGGAGGGATTATATCAACAATTTCATCAGTAGCATCAGCATTTCCATCGGCAGCTCCTCCATCGACGGCTCCACGGACAAAATCAATAGGACAGCTAGCAACCGTACTTTCATCAGCAGCTTTATCGGTTCCATCGGCAGTGGGCTCCGTGGGCTCGGCAATGGGAGAAACAGTAGCTTCACCGACAGAATCAGTGGGACAGCACGGCCATGCTAATCCTGGCCAATTCTTTTCTTCTGTATCCCTTATCTCCCCCTGAAGGGAAGAATTGGATGCCGAGGAGAAAAATGTGTCCGACTCCAAGAATGTAACATCCATGGTTTCATACATCTTGCTAGTGGTTGGATCATAGCACCGATAGCCCTTCTTGTGCACTGCATACCCCACGAAGACACAACGAACAGCACAGGGATCAAGCTTACTTCGTTGATTCTTGTGCCGATGAACAAATGCTACACAACCAAACGCCCGTGCCGGAAGCATTAGAACCGATGGTAGAGTGAAATGTTGAGACAGTGCTTGCAGCGGTGTCTGGAAGTTGATAACTTTTGAAGGCAGTCTATTCAATAAATAGACTGCTGTTGTGACTGCATCATTCCAATATCGGCGAGGAACATGGGCACCAATCAGTAATGCTCTTGCTATTTCAAGGATATGTCGAATTTTCCTTTCAGCTACTCCATTTTGCTGTGGAGTTTGGGTGCATGATGTTTCATGTATAAGACCATTGATATTAAAGAACTCTTGTAGTGGCCGATTAACATACTCACCACCATTATCAGATCGAAGAATCTTGACTGTTGCTGAAAACTGTGTATGAATCATGGAACAAAATGACTTGAAAATATCAAGAACTTCATTCTTATGTTTCAACAAATACAACCAAGTCATTCGAGTACAGTCATCTACGAAAGTTACAAACCAACGGACTCCAGTAGATGAAGTGATCGGGGATGGTCCCCAAACATCAGAATGTACTAAAGCAAAAGGTGTATTCGACTTATTCAAACTGACAGGATATGAGGCCCTATGACTTTTGGCTAATACACAGGTCTCACATTTTAAATCGGCAGTTTTGATGCTCGAAAAAAGTGCTGGAAAAAGGTGCTTCATATACCCAAAAGAAGGATGTCCTAGTCGCTGATGCCACAGTCGAATCTCTCGTTCTTTGGTGTTATCGGTACTCCTTGTCTAATTGGCTCTACCGATACTGAAATCATCAATGTAATATAGATCCCCCCTCCTAGTACCACGACCAATTATCTCCTTTGTGAGAATTTCCTGAAGAAGACAGAAGGTTGGATACATCAGTACCATACAGTTAAGATCAGTAGTTATTTGACTTACTGATAGTAACTTATTTGACAGTGAGGGAATCAATAAAGTATTCGGTAGAGATAAAGACGGAGATAAAGTAACAGTTCCAGCTCCTGTAACTGGATACTGCACACCATTAGCATTGGAAATTTTCGACCGTCGTGGTTGAGTTACGGATGAGAAGTCAGTTGGATCATAGGTCATATGATCAGTGGCTCCTGAATCGACAATCCAATTACTATCGCGTCGATGTGAGGAGTTCATACCTTGATGCTGATTGGTAGAAGACGTAGAGTGCACCTGGGCAATATTGATATCAGCAACTGCAACGGCCACCTTTCCGTTCTGACCAGCAACATTCAGTCGATCAGCTTGCCAATTTCGCCCTTTGCGCTCTTTCCACCATGTTGGATATCCGTGCAGCTTGAAGCACGTATCTTGTGTGTGCCCTTTCTTATTGCAGTGGGCACAATTAACTTCCTCAGTTGGCATCTCGGCTCGGGGTACTAAAATCGGCTCATTCTTCCTTCCCTTGGAAGCCATGACAGAGCCGATTGAGTGGTCTCCCCCTGTCATCATCACCGATTGTCTGCTGTCTTCTCGTCGGACATAGGCATATGCCTCTTCTACTGTTGGAAATGGTTTCATCCGCAGAACATCACTGCGAATCTGGTCCAGTCGGTCATCTAACCCATCGAGGAAAGTGTAGACTCTCTCTTCCTGTATGAGAGAATTATACCTGCTGATATCGGCAGCACATTCCATCGGGTTCGGCCGACGAAAATCAATCTCCCTCCACAAACCTTGCAAATCGTTGTAGTACTTTTCTATCAGCCCACCAGCTTGTCTCAGTCTAGTCACCTTCCGCCTCAGATCATACAGTTGGGATGTATCGGTTCCATCAAAGTATGTGGTAGCAATAGCATCCCATACCGCTTTTGCTGTGGGAAAACGAACGAAGGTACCGATCAAGGATGGAGCCATATTATTTATCAACCACCCTTTCACGATAGAGTCTTCAGTTCGCCACCGTCGATACGCTGGATCTGTTGGTGACGGCTGAGGGAGTTCACCATTAATATACCCCAATTTGTCCTTCCCTGAGATATACATCTCGACAATTTGGGACCATAAGGCATAGTTGGTATCATCCAACTTGATGCCGATCTGAGCCGAAGACGAATCCATGCTCGGTGTAGACTTCTGGCAGCTATTCAGGACTTCCACCATCCGAGTGGCAAAATCCTCTAGAACTACGTCAGCTTGTCCTTTCCCACCGTCCGTGAGCGTAGACGATTCGGCCATGGCTGGTTGTTGAAGAAATTATCAGAGTAACACTTTGGAGCAGAGATCCTAGAATCCCTGCTCTGATACCATGTTTGAAGGAACGAAATTTAGAGAGAGAGAGTTTTGGGAAGATTTTCTTTATTTCTCTGATGCAGACTAATGATGGTACCGATGCCTATTTATAGGCTTTACACAAGAAGGTCATTGATTATACTATCACCTATCAATCACTAACAGATATCTATCAACCACTAATAGATAACAATCATTCATATCATATCTCTAATTGATATACATTCAAACATTAAGAATATTCACGAATCTTATCTGATACCAATTACAATTCAATCCAACAGATCTTACCTACTAGTGCTAGTAAAAGATTGAGAGGAACATTACCCAAGACGACTAAAGAAGGGAAACAATATTAACTTGTGTAAATGCAGTGTAATTTACATACTGTCCACCCTTCAAATCATGAATTTTGAACATATACTGAGTATCTTATCAGATGTTGTTAGTCAAAGTTTCTGTGCAATTAGTAAATGACAGTCTGCTTAGTTTGTTATATGAACCTTTCTTGAGAGTTGTCATGTATATGCTTATCTTACTTCTGATCACTGTCACATAGTTCCTGAGTGCTTTTCACAAGTGTTTGATCAATCTTGTAAATAGATCTAAATAGAAGTACCTAGCAGAAAGGCTTGTAAAACGGAACTAGATAAGTAATTTTTCTTTGATTTTCTTTCTGACAGGCCTTTCATTTTCTTTGATGCAAAGTAGTAGGGCACTCACTTCTCAAACCTTTTCATATTAGAACTTAAGCTGGTTGGAGCCAATACATAGCTAAAGATTGGTGCAAAAGCTTGTAAAAGAGTTGAAGAAGACAATATTTCTTCATTTGAGCACAAAAAGCTATCTCCACATTCTTTTCTTTAGTTGATTTTTGTACGAACTCATTCATGACAAACATGTGGTATTCTTGCTTCCCAGAGAAAGTGAAGGATCATTTCAGTATGGTAACTATCGTAGAGAAGCAGATGACTTGCGTGCAGTGGTTCAACACTTCCAGGAAGAGAAACGTTTTGTAGCTGCACTTGTCGGGCATAGTAAAGGTACATAAGCTATTCGACTAAGTTCAAACATTGATTTACTGTCCGAACTTCTAGATTCCTTCCAGTCACCTGACAAGCTGTTCAGTTGAGATTTTTTAGGAGGAAATGCTGTGCTGTTGTATGCTTCAAGGGATAATGACATACAAATTATTGTCAATATCGCTGGCCGCTTCAATCTTGAGCGAGGAATTGAAGGTCGCTTGGGTAAAGACTTTCTGGAGAAAATTGAGCAGAATGGATTTATTGACATCAAGAACAGAAGGGGTAGCTAAGACCGTGATTCATCTTCTTGTATGAGTTTGGTTTTGTACTCGAGTGCTGCATGTTGGTTTCCTTGTATTTGTCCAGAAAGAAATCACTTATGGAAAAATTGTGTATGAGAGATAAGGAAATAAATAATTGCCTTCGAGCCAAGTTATGTCTCACATGGGGGTATTTCTATGTAGGAAAGACCAAGTATCGTGTATCTAAGGAAAGTTTGATGGACCGTCTAGCAACTGATACTCGTGCAGCTTGCCAAAAGATCAACAGAAACTGCAGGTAGGGATTGGTGATTCTTGTTTATCGAATTATGATTGAACTGTTGTTATCAATTCAATTTTGAATAGTATTCTATATCAGGATCTTCGTTATGAAACATATTGTCATTATCTTTCCAAATTCTGTACGTGTATGTAGGGTGTTGACAGTTCAAGGTTCCATGGATGAACTTGTTCCTGTCAGTGATGCCAAGGAGCTTGCAAAGCACATACCTAATCATATACTACACATTTTTGAAGGCGCAGATCATTATTTCACTTCGCATCAACATGAATTGGCTTCAGTTGTACTGGATTTTGTAACGAATGGGCTTACAGAATGCAGAAGAGTGCATAGATTTATCCATTCCCGATTCTGATACGAGGATAGTGATTATGGTTCTGGACAAATGGATTTTAAGAGAATCCAGTTACATGTCTGACTCTGTTGCTTCATACCAACCGTAACATGGTTCCTGGATGACAACATTGATTCCCCCCTCATGGAACCAACCAACGGTGATAGCTGAAGACTACCTCGATGGATAATGATGCAGTTAGGGTCTTTAAGAACTAGGGATTAGTACATGGACTGTAGTTTACTGAAAAACATGTTACAGCACAAAATGTCAAAAAAAAAACGCTGTGCAGAAGATAAAATATATGAACCATCTCTTTCATATGTTGTTTCCTCAATGAGTCGAAGATTCAATTTTAGTATTCAGTTTTGCTTTATGATTCTCAAGACCAGTTACAAGCAATTCATGTCATATGCATTATGAATATAAACAAGATCCACCAGCTCAAATCAATAGAACAGCTAAGCACTTCGATTATGTATTTCAACCGGATGCTTGTTCTGCCGTAGGCTGTATTGTCATCGTCAAGGAAAGGAGTATTCATACATGTCCCCCGATCTGTCGAAGACAGGAAAAATTTTTGGAGCATAAGATTGTAGTCGCATGTATAGGGCATTTGTTCAATTTTCAACAAATTTAGAAAACAACTTTATTCATCTAGAAAATTAATAAACGTGATACACCAAAGACTCTTCTAGGTTACTGACATTACAGGGATGATGGAGTTACTGCTAGAGTTTTCTACGTCCTACCAAAATTTACAGTCGGAAGGCTGCTGGATGCTAATGCCGACAATATGCAAGGAGTTCAGTAAGATACAACACCCCATCAGAAACGGTTACAGCAGTATAATAGTAGACAATCAGTACTGAAACTAGTACCATTCAACACTCTTTTATACTGCAACAGTTTTTGGCTTGACACCAATTTTTCTCCAAGAAACACTGGGCATTATCTGTTTGGGATCAACACGATCCTTATACTTGATGGCAAAGTTCAACAGCGAGTCAAGAAGAGCGTCAGAGAGAAGGTGGGGCTTGAGACCCAACTCAATGAGTTTTGTATGTTTGGCATTATAGTAATGCTCCTCTGCCTCTACTCTGGGGTTGGGCACAGATACTGTTTTCACCTCAATGCCAAGTTTTTCTCCAGCTTTCGTGACAAGGGCCGCAAGTTCATTGACAGAAAACTGCTCCGTGAATTGATTGAAGACCCTGAATTCTCCTCTCTGTGCTGGATTAGCAATTGCAAGCTCAACACACTGAACTGTGTCTCTTATATCTAGATATCCCCTGGTCTGCATGGTACAAAAAGAATGCATTACAAAATATTCAGTAGATCACAAAAGAACATGGATGAAGATGAAATAAAGTTAGAAGTATCAATTGAAGCACTTGAGTGAGTTGGTGACTGCAAAACCACCCTAGCTTCAAGCGCCACACCCCTTCTTTGCCTCTCCACCAGGTGCATTTTCGTTTTTTTTTTATGCAGCCAAAAACAAAAAGCACTTCCTAGTTCCTATTAACATCAGAATGATGCATTTCCAAATTCAAGCCCTATAGTCAGAATACTTCAGTGAGTCTCAGCCAAAGAAATTTAGAAAATTTAAAAAATAAGAAAGGAATCTGGAGTAGCTTCTCCAGCAGTGGCTTACCCTACAGAGGCTGCATAAAGATTATGGCAATCCAGATAAAAAAAGTCATTTTACCCATCCAAACCCAACATCATATCAGCAGATTTCAAACTATCGTCTATGGGCATCAATTTACATCCAAGTTCAGAAGGTAGTTAGCCAAGAGTACTTTGGACCTAGGTCATGTAATCTCCAAATCAGCATAACTATACGTTCAATATCCAGATTTAACCTTCTCGAGACAACAGGCAGCAACTCGGTTATTATCCGTTATAATGGCAGGTTCATGTTATTACATACTTTCCTCGGAAGTTCCAGATAACTAGCCTAAAATAGGGATGGACTTATAAGTGATTTCAAGAGGAAGCTTCAGCCGCCTTCTAGCAAAACCATACCAAAAATGTGAACTATAAAAACTAATCTTACCTAGGTACTCAAGACTTTGTCAATTAATATACCATTTCAGAACATAATACTGCTTCAATATGTAGATCTATGAAGCATGTGAGAGACAAACCTATTAGGTCACATGTAATCCGATGGAGGAGGCTTATGCAATATGTGTTGCACAGTTTTATTTGCTGAATGTGCTAAGAGTTTAAATTTGTTGTTTCCAGTGACTAATAACAGTAGGAACTACCCATCTATCGATTCATGATGCTTTCACACAGGAAAAGAAATAGATATTAGACTGTGCCTATTGCAATATAACTACTCGAAGTTTGCAGCTGAGAAGCATCTCCAGTTCTGCAGGAAATATCATATGATTAATGTGACAGAGACATGAAAGGAGAAAATACCTGGCCCCCTTTGCCATAGACAGTAAGTGGATGACCGACAGCAGCCTGAACACAAAACCTATTTAACGCAGTTCCAAAAACTCCATCATAATCAAATCTATTACATAGCTCATCATGCATTGCAGTCTCATCTGTTCTCAGACCATAAACTACTCCTTGGTTTAGATCAGTGGCTCGGATTCCCCACGCCTTGCAAGTAAATGCAATATTATGGGAATCATGGACCTTACTCAAATGATAGAAAGAACTTGCCTGCTTGGGATAAGGCAGAGTGTCTGTCCTTCCATTATGAGTAATTGTAATGTAACCTTCCTCAATGTCTATGTTTGGGGTCCCATACTCTCCCATGGTTCCAAGCTTCACCAAGTGACACTCATCTCTAAATTCCTTTATGGCAAACAGAACATTAAGTGTCCCAATGACATTGTTCTGTTGGGTAAATACAGCTCTTGACCTATCAATCATGGAGTAAGGAGCAGATCTCTGCTCTCCAAAGTGGACAACAGCATCAGGTTCAAATGACTTAAAAGTCTCAGCCAGGAACTCAAAGTCACATATATCCCCGATGTGAAGTTGGATATCCTTGCCAGTAAGGGACTTCCAACAACGGATACGATTATGGATAGACGAAATAGGTGTGAGGGAGTCAAGACCGAGCTGGTGGTCAAAAAGGCGACGAACAAGGTTGTCAACAATAGCAACTTCATAGTTTCTGTTTGATAGATGGAGTGCAGTAGCCCAACCACAGTAACCATCACCACCAATAACCATGACCTTCTTTGGACTACCAGCTTCACCGGTTTCTTGAGGAAAGCTAGAGCCAGGCTGAGCTTTGGATTCTTGACTCAGAGAAACAGCCATAGCATAGATGGTGGAGGATCTTTTTGGCCCTTTTCCATGCAGGATGAGCTTTTTCGAACGAGAGGTTGAAGTTGGCAAACTAAAAGATGCGGGAAATCCCGATGATGAACACTGATTCACTAACAAGCATTTTGGCTTTTTGCAGCTTGGAGAGATATTCAAAGAACAAGAGGTAGAAAGCAAATGCGCCATAGTAGCTGCCAATTGGACTCTTAAACTGTATTAAACCTGCACAGTCTGTACTTAAACTCGAAATCAATCTTCAAAGTCACTACTTTGCTGCTCTATATAAATACAAGAAGCAGACTGACAAAGAATCATTGTGATAAAAACAACCCATTTTATTCAATTTTTTAAGTTAACCAACTCCAAAGTTCTAATGAAAATTTGTATAATGAGTGAGCCTTTTACTTCTTTTCCAACAGTTCTGCATTATTTAACGAGTCCATTGCTACTTGAATGCCCAGTCCATCCCAAGAACAAAAGACCCCTGCTTTACCTTTTTTTTTTTTCAGTCTTCAACCTACTATCCAAGTCAAGAATTAACCAAGCTGTGCTAAAAAATTACGGTTCATAGACCAGTAAAAATTGGACTACATAAACAGATAGAGAGAAAGAGAGAGAGCAACCGCAGCAAAAGGCATGCTACTGAAACTTTAGAGCCAGAGAGATTGATGAGAATTAGTCGAGTTGGAAAATTATTTACCTTACTACGACAGAAGAATCAGAGAGCAAATCCGAAAGGGTCTGTCAAGAATCCAACTTCCAGATGAAAATTGATCACTCACATCAGTGTCTACGAGCTCCACTCCAGTCTCCAGGGGGATGGACTTTCCTTCGGCTGTGTTTTTCAAGGTACTTACTACTGGTCCGTCCTTTCGGGAGCATCAATAGCAATGGCTCAAGGGGATATTCTGGATATGCTCGATAGTATAATGCTAAATGTTAAGTTACATTTGTACCCTTACATTTTCCAAACCTTCCTGCTGGGTTTCTCATTTTGTTGACTTTCTCGTGATTTGATTTGATTTGATCTTCTTATTTCCCTAAAACTGTGTTTGCATTGTGATTTTCTGTCAAAAAAATTTACGTATTTTATGAACATATTTTGCAATCACCTTTTTACTTCACATACATGAAATCGTTACAGTATATTTTCTTACAAAAAATCCTCAAACTAACAATCCAAACAGGACCTTTATTTATTTCTTCGGTGCTAGGAGGTAAATAAAGAGAGTATGATTTAAACCTTCAATTGCAAGCCCTTTCGAATTGCTTTTTTTTTTTTTAGTGTACTGTAATAATTTGATATGTGTGAAATAAAAAAACGATTGAAAAAAATGTTCATAAAAAATATTTTAAAAAAATTAAAATAAAAATGACAATTCAAACAAGGTAACTTTACTGCATGGATGAATGTAACATTTGGCTTGTTGATCTTGCCCACGAAATACAGTAACGAAATTTTTGTTGCTTTGCTGACCCCGATTCCCAGCTTTAGAGAAAGGTTTTGGCGTTCGCAAGACACGACTAGACTTCAAATAATTTCAACTACACTTCATTGCTTGAGGCAGCAGCAATGATACTGCTGAGAATAGTCACTCGGAGTCGAACCCAATACTCTGCCGAGGTCTTTCATCTATTTTGAACATTATATTCGAGTTACAAGCCACCACTTTCTGTCAAAAGAAACCTTGCGTCCGTTCTTTTGCTCAGAACTTACACAAAGAAATCGAAGGCAGAAAATGTGATTCCCAAAACAATAATATTAACAGGTAAACAATAGCAACTAGAAGGAATTCCCTCAGATTTGGCGTAGAATTTCCAAATTAAGGGTTTTTAGCAACAGAAAATATGCATTACCAAGCAGCAGCAGCAAATACCAGCAACAACAAAAAATCCATTAGCAGGAAGGGATACTTTGAAGACCAAATAGATCAATTGTCAGCTAAGGTTTATCTTTTTCTTGTGCTGAGAAATATCGATCAGTACAAATTTGGGTCCTTGATGGTTAGTTACATGTTTAAGACATTCAAAATTTTAACTAAGAAGGAACACGTTCCCATGAAAAATACGACACCA